GCCAGATTCGCCCTGCAAGTAATTCTACAATAAATAAAATATATATTTTTGTTGCAATATCTTAATTCGCTAACCATTACTGTGCCATTGTCAGATACACCAGAACCAGACATGTTATCTGCAAGCAGACGTTCGCTTTCTGGATCCGTCAATATTCTCGACATATCTGATTTATTTTTTAATATTGATTTTGAGCGTCTATGGTGTTCAAGATTTGGTGATGCGTCAATTGAATCTATCGATGAGGAATGTTTACTTTCAAATTTGGCTAAAAAAAAATTAAATTGTTATAAAAGTACTGCACATACGTGTACACAACTCATATACCTTTAGATCCAATATTCTGTATACCGAACAAATGCTGATTTATCAACTTAGTGGCAGTGGCTAAACTTTTGCCCGGCATAAAAGATGAACGCTTCTTTTTACTCCCGCTACTCGCAGGACTTGATTCTTGGCCCACATTCTCCTGTGAGACCTTTGAGTCTTCAAAACGTGCTCGGGGCTTTACTACAGTCCCCGCAGCTATAATACTGGAATGCATTGATGAAAAACTTTGCTGAAAACGCGTTTTGCGATGCTTTGGCACTGGGTTCTCATTAAGACTAACACGACTACCTCGCTCCTGTACCTCAAAATTTTGGTAAACATCATCCATAGGACTTAAAGCTCCAGTGGCCAAATTTCTTAGTGCTGTATCACCCGAAGCACTTTTCTTTACATGTGAACGTGACATACTTGTTGCACTAGTCGGTGGCAAGCCAACTACAAATCCGGTCGTGCCTATTGTTGACTCCTTCTCAAGCGGATTTATATACAAATTTTCCATGTCTATATCCAAAGCACATGCTTCATCTCCTAAATCCGCAGTGAGATCACCTTGTGATAAAAATGGATGTGTTTGGCAACTTGCATATGTATCCGAGCTATCAACGCTGGCTAAATCGGCATTGTTATTATTACTGCTGCTGAAATTGTTGTTGAAATTATTACCAAGCCCCAGAATTCCATTGCCGGTACTCATGGCCAATGCATTGCAAGCACCAACAGATGTTGTGTTGAAGTTATTGTTGAAGTTATGGTTAAAATTATTATTGGTACTGCTGGAGATAAAAGGTGGATAACGGAACGGTGTGTCGAGTGGCAGCGCTATTGTGGTCGATGTTGTAGTACCATATGATGAAGATGTTGAGGATGTTGATTGTGAAGTGGGTACAATACCAGTGGCAGTGAAGGGAGCCGACGTACGTCCTGCAGCATGTCCTATTGAAAATATAACATCTGCATGCGCTTCACCTGCTGTTACAGCAATAGCACCGGTTAATTGTTGTTGCTGTTGATTGTATAAATGGGTGGGTGGTGATATCAAGCCATACTGATCAGCATATAACTGTCGATTAGCTTGATTTGCGGCCATGCGCATTTCTAAGCAAATGGGTTTATGGAAGTCAGAAGTTGGAAGAGAAATGACGCCCTCCGCATCTGTGAATTCCTTGAATTCCTGGAAAATAAAATAAGAAAAAAATGTTTTATTAATTTTGTTCTCTGAAATGGTAAAAATCGTTAAAAAATAATAATAAAAATTTCTATACTTCCTTGTTTTTTATTTACTTAGTCTTTTGTGTACTCTCGATGTAGTTTATAAAAAATATGTCTCTTAAAGAATGAAGAATAATTCAAGTTAATACATATAAATTGAAAATTGCTTTATATACGTTTGTCAATTAATTCTATTATTTCTTAATAAATATGAACATTTCTATTTATAATAAATTTCATTTAGTTGAAGTTATGTTTTATATATTTTAATCTTATACTACAAAAAAATTTTTTTTCAATTTACAATGTATTTTAAAATTGACAGGCTTAACGTCAATATTGGCAGAACTATATAATATTAATATTAGAGAGTTCGTTATATTTTATCATGTAACAAGCTATCCGTAAGCTAATATTAAAAAGAAATAATGATATGTGTTTAGGGTACTAAAGAACATCAGAACTTCGCCGATATGCAAGTCAGAATTGTGCTTGTTAATTGTAAAATAATACATTTAAATACCAGTATTTTTTGCGATAAGAGAATCTGAATTATAATATTGTATATATCTGAAGAAGTAAAAGCTCAATTTCCTGTTGCTCGTAAATTATGTATACACTTGCAGTATTATCGAAGTGAAAATTGTGAAATGGAATTCGACTACAATGGTCGGAATCTATGTGGATATCAAGGCAGCGATTAAAGGATTTGATATTTATATATGTCATTAGCTTTATCATTGATATATGACTATTGTATGGTATTTTTAATAGAAGTTGAGTAAACTTATGAGAGATAATATATATAAAACTTTCATACTACAAAACAGCTCTATTTTAATTTAAAATCTTTTTATTATTGCAAAATATTCTTGTTGTTTAGCATTAAATACTAACAACTGTATGCCATCCTTGTTTTTGTATGAATGCCATATCTAGTCTATGAACAGTTTTGCTCAAATATAATTAATCGACTTTTATATGTATAAAATTTTCTGCAAGATCTTGTTTTGAATAACAATAAAATCAAGCATGTTTCTAATTTTATGTTGTACAGCAGACTATAGATCGCCCACAACAACGAGTGCCGATTATCACCTGACTATTGACCCGCCTCCTTATATTTTCCAATTCATGCATGAAGTGAAACTGTAGTTCCACGATTATGCAGTTTAATAATTTATATTTAACTGTTTCTACCATCAAAGCAATGTATTTAAAACAACCAAGCAATGTGAACCTATCATGGGTTTTAAAGGGACAAACATTGTTTAAACTAACGCTTGGGTTTATAAGTATTCTATGAACTGCGCTCTATCGAAAATCTGCCATTGTACGTTATTTACCAGATTTTAAACGTGGCCATATATATACTAATAACTCATTACGCTGTCGTCCAAATGAAAAAATTACACTGCAACACATCAGAAAAATTAACAAAATTGTTTTGAAAAATTGAGAAGTAAAGTTCTAGTTCATTAAATATATCAATGGAATATATGAGACTTATTTTACATATAAATTAATGTATCACTGTCCATAGGTTGTTGGTTTCAATCGCGATATTGTACTACGAACTACACTTCGAATGGCTTCACATTCTTCGTAGTCACCAGTTTTTGACACCAACGACTATTATCTGTTCGCATACGTTAAAAAAATATTCCAGGGAAAATGATATTTCTTCAATAACGAACTCATTGCCAAACCAAACGACTATTTTAAGGACAAATATAAGTCTAACAAGAAGAGTGTTGCTATTTTGGAGAACAGCTATAATAATTTGCCTTAATTTATATTTTCATAATTTAATTCCAGTATTTTTTAGCCGATGTGTTATTGCTCTTATAAGTTGATGTTCTAAAAAATTTCCATTGAAGAAATAAGTCTGTATCTAATATGGTAGTAATTTTCCTTACTTTTTATTTTTGGTGAATACAAAAAGTTATCTTGCATTTTGCTATAATATATAGGAGTCATGTACTATTATATGTATAAATTGAAATAGAAAAAAAAAAGTATTTTTCAATTTGAGTTCTTAGTTCAATATCTGTTTATTTTGCTTTACAATGTCACTATAGAAATTATTACCTCCTTCATAATCTATTTTGGGAAATTATTAAATTAAAATCAAATTAAGTTTAGTCTTAACATTAAAAATGCAGTTTTTTCATGTATAACCGATAAAAATTAGTGTTAAAAGGAGAGTCAAATTTTCTTTAATTTTAAATTAAACATATAATTTAAAATTATTTAGTGAATTTAATTATTTACGAACTTTTTTAAATAAATCTTGAAAATATCTTCCTCAACAATATAGTATTATTACTCATTATTATCCATTAAAATAGTTTATATATATAAAAATGATCAAAAATTTGAAAAAAGCATGCGAATCACACTTAAAATAGAAAAATTTTGCAGATTTGGTAAGTGAAATCAATTTTAATAGAAAAATAGTGTATTTAAAATATAAACTCACCTTTCTTATAAAAAATTCAGCTGTATCCTTTAACAAATTGCCCAAAGTACTCGTATGAGTTTTATACAATTTGCTAAACTAAATAAATTTAAAGACTAACTACTTTAAATGAAAAAATAATATTTGAAAAAAATAATAATAAATTATAAATTTTTATAATTAAATTTCTACCCAAACTATTACTAAGTACAGGAGCCATAGAAACATTTCCATTAAATGAAATAATTACGTTAATTAAAAAAACTCATTCTGTATTTGTGTGCATCATTATTTTTGCATTTAATTAAGTTTTTGTTATAATTTTAATAAAGTGACTAATGTATATCATTAATATACGATCATTAAACATAACGTGTATAAATATATAAATATATGAATTTCTGATTTTTAATTGTATAATTTTTATTTAATATTTTATGTAATTTTTTAAGTAAAAAACTGTGTACACTAAGTTGCAACCTTGTATTTGCTAATTTTAAACTAAAATTCTCTTAAATTTAAAGGTTTTTTAAACACATACAAAATGTTTTATAAAATTCTATGAATTTTTTATGTCTTTTAACTTTATACCTATATAAATACCATGCAAATTATATGATATAAGAAGAAATAATTTTTAATTAAAATTAAACATGTTTATATAAAGCTAACTAAATTTCGCTTATATCTTTTTATAGTTAAGAAAATATTCAATTAATATTTTGTTTGATTTCTGTGTGGTTAAACGCTATTTGCTCGCAATGGAATACATTCGCCTTGACATCCTTGAAATCCCTTTAAGAAATTAAAAAAGAAAAAGTAAATAAATAAAATAAAATTTAAAAAATATATAAACAAAATTTACAAAAGTAATACACGTAGATTGTAACTTACAATTTAATTGTACGTAGAGTAGTTGAGAAATTTTAGTGTTTTAAGCAAAAGAAAGATATAAATGAAAAGACAATTACATATTTACTATATATATATATTTGTACATAACAAATTTTGTAAAAATACATACGAATTGCAATATAGTTTTAAATACAAATCGAGGCTTATAGTATATTTAGAGCCCAGAATGAATCAATTATAGCGGTTCGATTGTAGTAATTGCCAATAATTTTTTAAAAGTCTTTAAAATTTATTGAAAAGTAATAAACTGCATTTGTTTCTATTTATAATAACACTTTGTTCATTACTTTACTTTACAATTAATATTATAAATAATATAAAAAAATGTATACTAAATCACTACATTGCAAGTTCTACCAAATTTATCGATAGTTTAATAATAAATACCTTCACTTATATATAATATAAGTTAACTTCCCCTCTTTCAACCATATTTTTCAACATTAAAAAATTTTTAGGTGACGGTGGTGGACGAGCTAACCTCTTTATGCTATACTCCTTCCCGTGAAATTCACACATACGATCCTGTAATTTTTATTTGCTTAGATTTTGTTATTTATATGCTTACAGTCTGTTTCTGGCGAAGGATAAAAGAGGGATATACACTACAGCAGGGAATAAAAGTACTTCTAAAACGTGAAAGTAATTTAATTTAATGCCAATTGGTGTTCTAAAGAAAATATAATCATGATTTTATCTAGTATATAGAAGCGAGTAATACTGAGAAAATGAAGTGTTACGAATAATTTTAAATTATTTAATTTTCAAAAAACTATAACTATATTCCTCTGAAAAATATTTTCTCTCAATTATACGGTTTTATATTAATTTTTCAATAATTCCGACAATTTTCATTTCCATACTTATAATAATCGCAATATTTCCTTTAATTAATATAAAATAAAAGAAATAAACGCATCGTTTTTCAGATATATCTAACACATATTTATTTAAGATTATCTCAATCTTCAAATACAATTTAAATATATTAGTACTGTATATTTAAGAATACAATTTAGAAAAATTTACATTAAGCTAACTAAAAAAAAAAAAAACAAAAAATAATTATTTATGAATAATTAAATACAAGAATTATTTCCAAGACCACTAATGACGGGTATTTGGCAATACTCGAAACACTTGTATGGTCAGCCAAAAATTCAATTATTTAAAATAATATAATAACTAAAATTTTTGTTGTTGTAGTTCACTACTGTTCGAAAAAAACCACATTAAACTAACTTAATAAACATTCTTCGTATTAGCTTACAAAGTTCAATTGAATTACATGAGTTCAAATGTGTTTCCTAATCATTGCCATTGAATATCAATTTCTTCAGTAAATGATACCAAACCACTTAATAACAATATGTCAACAACTTATTGAGTTCAGACATGTTAACCTCAAATTAATGTTAACATGTTAAGAACAGAAATATGTTAAGGTTAACATTGTTTGTGAGCACTTACAGATTTGCTAGTTCAAAGTCTAAAGTTTTCATCTTTAAAGAAATGTGTATTAGTTTAAAGTAGAAAATGTACAATGAAAAAACTACACATTGATTTTAAACTAAGAGAATTGTGAAAAGTTTATAACATTTTCCATATCTTAATGGTTAACCACTATTTATTTTTCATTTAATTAATTTGCTTTGAACGTACTGACACAAACGTGAACAGTAAATAATTGAATAGACACATGAACCATTTCTAGGTAATTTCTAATGAAACTTCTATAGTTAAAGTTATCCTAGAAAATTAGTTGTAGAGGTACGTGTGTTGGCCATTTTTTTGTAAGTAGTCAGAGCTTTATCCTTGTAAGATTTTTTTATATACTATAAATTTTAACTCCATGTTAAAAATATTGCTTGTAAAAACACTGCTGGGCTCAAAGCAACAGATTGTGGAAAATATGCACATACTTACATTTAACATAATTCCAAATTATTTGCGAAGAACCAAATCAAAGTTAGATACTTTGTCCAATATATATATATATAATATAAGATAATGTCTTATAATATTTTAAAAGTTGCTGTAATATCTCGATTGAGAAATAAGACAAAAAGAACAAGCTTTCAATGATAATATGATTATTTAATTTTCACAATAATTAAAAAATGATGCACTGATTAGGTGCAGAAATATTTGAAAAGGCAGATTGCTTTACCAAAAGGTCTTTTATAGACCCCAAACAATTCTGCTGAGGTAAGAATTCTTTCAAGCAGACTTAGACTTTTGAAAGCCTAAAAGGACATATGACTAGCAACTTATTACTTATGACTGACCAACTTATCAACCTTAACAAAGTTATTGTTATATAGTTATTAATCTAAGTAAAAAGGTTTGATGACGTATATCAGCTAACTAAGAAAATGACACTGTAAACAAAACTTGTCTATTAACCATAAACCTTATCACGCAAATCAAAAAACAGTGAAATATATTCCTGATATGACTAGAAACGTTACCAATTATATAAAAACTGGGTTTGAAATTTCTTTAAATTAGCTTAAATTAGGTCCATTTAGATTATTCCATAGAAAGCTGTTTAAAAGATATTCTTTGGTAGTTGAACATACTAATCCAAAATTGTAATAATATTATTCAAACCTTATTAATTTGAAATAGAACATTACTATAGAGATCCTCTAGTGTAATAGGCATAATGGTTAGAAATTATGAACTGAACTGATATTAATTTTTCCTATCGTAAATTTAGCTACATCTGATAATAATAAGATATTGATAAACAAAATTCTCTTACATTTAGAGCGCAGAGTCTTTAAATAATCTTTTTCTGTAATTCTACGAATTTGTTATTAATTTTTAAATTGTATCACTTTGTATGAATTATAATACGAAATAAAATAAAATAAGAAATAGTGTGACAATATGTAATAATAAAAAAACAGCCTTTTCGTTAACATTTCTATATAAAATCGAAAATAAGTTCAAAATAATTTGTTTCAGTATATTATTAAATTGGTTAAAAAATATGAATAATTAGTTACTAATTATTTTAGTGGCATCAACCATTTGTGACATCTTTTTCCGCTACATCATATGTATTTACAGTATACATTTTGAAATCTCCAATCTTATAGTTTTAACCTATTTGCAATAATTTTGCTAACTAAAAAAACTAAATACGCCATCTAGCGCCAACGAACATATATTTGGACATTGATATGGTTGATATATGATATTTGGATAGATGTTTGGATAAAATATAATATAAAAAATTGTTTACTAGCAATTTACTTTAGTCAAAAAATAAAAACTACATCTATTGCTACTAATAGACTATTCAAGAAACCAACTCTTTAAGAGAGTTAAATACAACCGACAAGACAAACATTGAGTACAATTGTAAAAATTTTCAACCCTAAAGCCGAATATCTTAAAACCTATTTGTTTTCATAACCTTTGTTATGAAGCAAAGTGGAATAAGTTGTTTAAAATATTACTGTCATGACTAAATGAGATGTCAAATAGATGTGCCCCCAAAATCGGAATCATTTTAGAATTTTAAACTATTATATTTAAAGCACAAAATTAATTTATTTTTTGCATTATTATTAATTAATAATTCTGTAAACATTAAAAATTCAAATACATGCAAATTTTAAATGAATAATAATATTATTATATACTTTAATAATAAAAACAGCAGTTATGTGCAATAGGATAACAACATTAAAGCCGGAAAGAACAGATATGTTATACAATTATTATTTTATGTACAATTGAAAAACAAGCACAAAAACTGAGTTTTAGTATCAGGAAAAGTTAGTATAAAGTACCTTCGTTGTGCAGAAGCAGCATTCAAATTCCACCGGTACATCCTGTTCCAAATTATCCATTCTCTGATTTTGTAAATTCTCTAGAGCCACCTGCCGTCGCAGTTCTGCTACTTCCTATAAAAGTTTTTATAGTTTTTTAAAGTTAACGTTTATGTTAAGAGAAGAGCAATTAAATTAAGAATGCAGTTTAAAGTAATATTTCTGTTACACAAAAGTAGTTAAAGTATATATAGTACACATATTAAGTTTGTAAGAAATAAAAAATATTTTCATAAAAGGCAATTAATGTATAAAGCAAAGTTATTTCACAAGAAAGTGCAATGTTTCAAGACATATTTACATAAAACGGGCATATACACATACATATTATAAAACAACATGCAAGACAAAGTTTAATTTTTTATTATTTTGACCCCAAATTAAAAATATAATATTAATTTAAGAAAATCTTATTGTTAGTATTTTATTAACTTATACATAAAGATTGTTTTTTGTTTACAAAATTTGATACCTACAATTCCCTTAAATTGAAAAATTTTAAGAAAGATGACTAAGTGTAGTATATACTCATTTATATATATATTTAATATCATTTATATTCAATATTCCTCTTTCGTACACTGAATGTTCAGAATAAGTTTGGATAAAATATTATCTAAACTATTAAATATTACAGATAATATTACTACAAATATTTTCATTTATAAAACATATGAAAAAAAGTTTATGGTCGAAAAGTGTAAAGAAATTTAAAATACATTTGGTTTCTAATTCCTACAGTTTCATCTATTGGGCTAAGTATTTTTCTAAAAGCTTATTTTTTATTGATTTTTGGTATGAATATACACTTTACGGACAGCGTTCACATATTAACTTCTAAGAAACGAACTAGTTTTGTAAATGTTTGTAGAGCAGAATATTTATTTTCTTGAATATCTGCGCTTTTTTACACTAAACTATATATTAAAGTACTTATACGTTGATCGAGTAGACAAAATTCTGTTTATCTAAGTAACTAAATCGTTTACTCTCTGTAATTCCAATATTGTCTGACAACACCGTTTCGTAGGCAAAGAAGATCTTAGATTTTTCGGCACCTCTTTTTTTTGCGTATATATTATTGTCACAGTGTTGTCACCGTATGTATATACTTGTGACAACTTTATAAATAGTGTTTCTTTTAATTTTTTTAAAATGAGTTAAGTGTACTTTTTTAATAATAAATGCAACTGTGATTAGTAGTAACTTCTTTCAATCTATGTAACTGTTTTCATTACAATCCTTTTAAAGTTTTTGATTATTTAATTAAATAATTACATTATTTTTGATTTATTCGTAAAAGCTAACGTATTGAAAAATTCTTTAAGCACTGGGATCAAAAATGAATCTATCGCCGCTAGTAAATTCATTGGATTTTAGTTTCTCAAAAAACTTGAAAATTTTTGTGAATGGAACTCTTCTATATTTCATTAGTTTTTGCTTACCAATTATCAGACCCAAGATAAAACCGAACATTTAACAATTAGACACTTGAATATCTCTATGTCTCTATAGCAGTATCTATCCTTCTCTGATTCTAAGACGAAAAATTTGAAGTTTTTGCAATTACTTATAATAATATTATAACTTTTGGTAGCCCCACATAGTATTCTTATGTCTTTTGATCAAAGTACTCAAGCACTCTTCTCTTTTCGGTGAAGAGTCGGACTTTTTTACAAGTACTTACACCTTCTGCTCAGATATTGATAATAAATACTATAATACAAATTATAGAAATTATGTTAATTTGTATTTTTTTTATACAATATATATATTGAATATTTAGTTTTGCTTATAAAAAATATAATTGTTTATTTAATTCTTTGAACATATTTTTTTATTTAACTTTTGAATTGATGTTCTTGGAAAATATTATTAAAAAATTATTCACTGAAATATCTATCAACTAAAATAAATAAAATTAAAAAAAAATTTTGTTCTTTGGTAATTGTTTTAAATAAGTTTCCAAAATTATTATAATTATCCTTTTGGGGAAATGTACGATGGTGAAGATTTTCTGTGTATGAATTTCAATAAAATCGTTCATATAAATTTATTCTTAATGTTCACTAAATGCGAATCGTTTGGCTAAGTAAGTAAACTCCATTTAGTATTAAAAACCATATTGTAAATGTTTTTAAATAGTGGCTGTGCTAATGATGATTCCTAAAGTTCTAATCTCAAGCCCAATTGATATAAATCTTCCACAATATTTAGCCGATTCAGATTATATATATATGGATCCCGATTTTAATGACTTAACAGAACTTAATGAAGAACTCAATCAAAAACCTAAAAAAAATTATGAATTTGGTGCAATACCACGAGCAGCTCTTATACCAGATTCGGAGTCATCAGCAAATGACGCCACAACTGAATGTGGTAAATTAATATTAATTTAATAAAAATAAGAATGATAAACATTGACAATATATTTCTTAACTATTAGAACCGGAAAAACCTGAGGATTCGAGCACAACAGAGTGTGGTAAGTGATAATTTATTTTGGTTAAATTGAATTAAGTTTGCAAATCATATTCGTTTACAGTACCGGACACAGAAAAACCAGGTTCGCAAACGTCTGGTAAGTATGAAACTACTTTACTGAAGAGACCGTATTATCTAAAGCTAATATTTATTTGTAGCTCCAGAGACGGAAAAGTCAGGAGCAACAACTACAGAATGTGGTATGTGAAAAATAATATTAAGATGCAAAAAGATCAAAAATCATGTTAGCTATCCTGTATACTTTTCCAATTTATAGTACACTAACTGATAAAACATTAAATTATACCTAAGCTTTATATATGTTTCACTTCAATTTTAATAAAGAAAAAAGTTTTTCACATATTATGTTTTTACAGTTCCTGATACAGAAAAGACGGAAAAACCGGCCCCAGCAGAACAGACGACTACGACGACTACAACAACAGAATGTAGTAAGTATATACTTCATTAGTTCAGCCTATTTGTATATAAATATTCAGATACTTGAGATTTTCCTGATTTGTGATACAATTCACGTAATTATTATCCTAAAGTATATTATAATTTTAGTACCAGAGACACCTGCATCCCAAACATCAACAACGGAATGCAGTAAGTGGTACTTAAAAAATAAAAGTTAGCTTTTAATTAATATATATTGATATCTTTAGTTCCTGAAAGTGAAAATCCGCCAGCAAAAACAGGCCATCCGCTTGAAGAGAGTAGTTCCGGATCTCAAGCAACTAGCACTGCTGGAGGATCTCAAGCAGCGATAACTGCAGTTCAAGGAGCAGAAGCTACAACTACAAGTAGCATGTCAAAAGCTGATGCAGCTGGAAATGCTGAACACGATTTGAAGACAAAAGAACTGCATACGTTAATACAACAATTATACGTAGCGCAAGCACGTGTACAATTGGAAGCCACGGAAATAAAAAAGTCACAGGCAATTGCGAACTCTGCGCAACAGGATTTGGAAGAGGCAGCAAATAGAGTACGAACTGTTACCGCGATGCTGCAGAATGCTCAGCAAGAAGTAGCTGCTTGTGCAATTCGTGCTCAAACAGCCCAACTACAACTGGCAGCACATGATCAGCTATTATTTGCTGCCCGACAGGATGTCGATGCCCTCTCCTCACAAATGGTGGGATTGCAAGCAGCAGAAGGTATTTCACCACCTAAAATCAGTTTCGATGTATCAAGCCTCATGGAAAAACTGAAACAACCTTTGGCTGAAGCTGAGAAGCCAACACCTGTGCCCACTATAATTAATTTACCTGTACCGGCAAAACCCAGACCAGTAAACGACGAAAGAGTCGATGAGGAATATTACTACGATTAAAGTTTAAGTTGTTAAGTTGTGATATGAAATATTTCTGAATGAAATAATTATGATATATAACAATATATTTATTATGATTTCAATTTTCTTTCTGATTTATGTATAATCATATTGTTAACTCTATCGAATTTAATATATTTAAGATATTATTTAAACAGTAATATTGATTATTTCACTGCCTACAGATATTTATGTAGACGACGTAATATTAATCATTTTGGAAATCATTATTCTGTGATCAGAAAAAAATATATTTATATAACTCATATAACTCCTTAGATCCCGTGTTTAACCACCAGTCAGCACCATTTATAGTGTACATAATAGATATGATTTTTATAATATATCAACCTACAACAATACTTGAGATGGATATCATTAATAATTCAGTTCTTTGAGTGACGACACCATTTTCTGGTTGAAAGATATATAGT